TGAGATCTTTTTAGTATCTGGGCATTTAGCTCAGTTTAGGCAGAGCACTTGCCTAGTGTTGTGGTTTGGATGTGAGGTGCCCCCGAAAAGCTCATGTGTGAGACAATGCAAGAAGGTTTAGAGGAGAAATGATTGGGTTATGAGAGCCTTAACGCAATCAGTGAATTAATCACCTGAGTATTAATTGAGTATTAATTGAAGGCAGGTGGGATATGGCTGGAGGAGGTGGGGGGGGTATTTGAGGCATGGCTTTGGGGTATGTGTTTGTATTTGGCAAGTGGAGCTCTCTCTCCCTCTCTGCTTGCTGATCATCATGTGAGCTGCTTCCCTCTGCTACACACTCCACTATGATATTCAACCTCACCTCAAACCCCAAGGTATGGAACCTACTGTCCATGGACTGAGATCTCTGAAACCCTGAGCCTCAAATGAACTTTTCCTCCCCTAAAATTGTTCTAGTCAGGTATTTAGTCGCAGCAACAAAAAAGCTGACTAAAACAACCTAGCATGTGCAAGGCCCTGTGTTTGATGTCAAGCACATACATACACACACATACACACAAGCATAAGCTATTACAAGAAAAAAAAATATGTATATGAAAAAGCAAAGGCAATAATTTGGAAATGAAAACACACTGGAGGCAACATGTCAGTGACTTTAGAATTGGTACAAAATTCCTGCCTTATAGTCTCACCCAATGATAAAAATACCACCACATAGTACTGAGGTGAGAAATTTGATTGCATAGTCTTGTGCACTGGCCAGTCAGTCATGCATTAATTAGTTATGCTCCACCAGTTTACAATGTATGTACATCAACTATGATATTTGCTCCTATTTTGTCTGTAAGGAACATGAAATTATGAACCATGAACTTTGCCATCAGATGGTGGGTCAGTCCCCAAGGCAACCCTATGGCTCCAAATATCTGACTTTCCCCTGGAAAAATGTGCATTTGTAGAGACTCGGTGCTCTGTGATTATAATGGAAGAAGAAAAAAGAAAGAATGTAAATGAGAGAAAAGGGGATTCCTTTTTCTCCAACTACTATCAGTTTACTTATACACAGTATTTCTTAAACCAGTGCCTTTGCAATGTCCAGATTTTGCCCCTACTTCCTTATTTTTTACCCAGACCGATAATATTTTCCTAATTAAAACATATATGTTAAGAAAAAGAAAAAGAAAAACACACATTAAGTCAAATTTGTTTTTTCTTAGCTTAAAATTTTGAATGGGTGATACAATCACACAGTGAAAGAACTAAACAGCATAAAATGTATATAGTGAAAAATCTCACCTGCATCCTATCCCGTATTGGCCTTTCCTTCCCCATCCCTTGGTAACCAGTTATTAGTGTTTTTTGCATCCTTCCAGGATTCATGCAAATATAAATAAATATAAAATTTCATTTTATCTCTTATTATATACAGAAGTTAACATATCATATGTATTGTTACACATCTTTCTGTTTTAACTAATGACTAAATACACTGGACATCTTTTCACATCAGTAAATTAATGAGCTGATTTGATTTTTAAGTCAATCTTGACAAAGATACATGTGGGTTAACTCAAAGTTTTTAGAAGCATAGGAAAATTGCTTTTGTCTTAATTTTTTTTTTCTTTTTTTTTCTCAGTTACTTCCCAGTTAGTATGTGTGTGGATTACTAATAGAAATAGAGACAAATAGATAATGCCACCTGCTTCCGAATACGATGAGAAGGTGGGGAGAAGACAGCTGTTCGTTCCGTGCTGTGCCTTCTGCCTAAACTTGATTTGGCTCAGATTTGTATTGCCTTTTTTCCTTGTAAATAGGCCTCTGCTTTTTATAATTAAGTTTTGTTTCAAAGGGACATCTTTTGAGCACACACTGGCTATTTGCCTGGGGTTTCTGTTATTGTAAATCTGTGTTTCAGAAAAAGTGAAAAATTTCTTGTCTTTAGGGGTTTTTTTCTTTGCCTGGTTTTTAGTTTGGGCTTAAATTAGATTTAATGTTTTTCAGGATTAATCTGCTTTTGTTCTCTTGTTTTTAGGTCAAAGAACCCTTCCTCCTCATTTGGCTTTCTCTTTCAGTTTCATTGTTCTAAGAAGATTGCTTTATCTCACTTGCCAATATTTTTTCCTTGTTCTCCTGCTCTTTCCTCTGTTTGTATTGTGTGTGTGTGTGTGTCTGCGCACGCACAAGAGCCATTTTGTTAGCTTTTGATTTTAGCCTTTTTGATTTTTCCTTTTCCTGTTTTATTCTGAACTGTTTCTACTGGAACTTCTGTTATAATTTGTAATAAAAGATTAGTAGGAATACAATACTACTTTCTGTATATGCATCCTGACAAGTTCTAGTTCTACCAAATATTCTTTTTACTAATTAGATATTGTCTAAGGTCAGTTTCAAAATATTAATCCCCATTGCTCCACCAAAATAATAATAATGGCTACCACCATTGTTGTAATTCCACCAACTCCAGCAAACAAAGTATGAAAATAATTTAATTGTAATAGGGGATAAAGATGAAATTTGACACAGTGTTTTTTTTTTTTTTTTTGGTACTGAGGATTGAACTAAGGGGCACTTCACCACTGAGCCACATCCCTAGCCCTATTTTGTATTTTATTTAGAGACAGGGTCTCACTGATTTGCTTAACGCTTCACCATTGCTGAGGCTGGCTTTGAACTCTCAGTTGTCCTGTCTCAGCCTCCAGAGCCGCTGGGATTAACCACAACCAGCCAGTGGTTGTTTTGGAGGTGGGAAGGTTCTCACTCTGGACATAATAAATAATATGTTGGGGAACTGTGAAGCCCCTGAAATGTAAAATTATGGGAGTCTAAAATTTTTTAGATCATTAGGCTTCCTTGGATGCCAACTCCCCCTCTCTGCTCACAAATAAACAGAATGACTATAATTAAAAAAAATTGATTTAAAAGTAATTTTAGGGGGCTGTGGTTGTGACTCAGTGGTAGAACATTTGCCCAGCATATGTAAGGCACTGGGCAAAAACAACAACAACAATAAAAAATACCTCAAGTTCCACATTAAAATAAATAAAAAAATAAACAAAATAAAATAAAGGTGTTGTGTCCATATACTACCCCCAAAACAAAATTAAAAAAAAAAGTAATTTAGATAGTTTCTGTAAATTTGCCCCCCTCCCCTTTTTTTGTATTGAGGATTGAAACCAGAGGTGGTGATCTATCACTGATCTATATGTCCAGTTCTTTTTTATTAATTAAAAAAATTTTTTTGGTACCAGGAATTGAACACAGGGGGTACTTAAACACTGATAACATCCCTAGCCCTTTTATAAAATTTTTTTTTGTTTTTAGACAGGATCTTATTAAATTGCTTAGAGCCTCACTAAATTGCTGAGGTTGGTCTCCAACTTGTGATCTTCCTGCCTCAGCCTGCCAAGTCACTGGGATTATAAGTGTGTACCACCATGTACAGCTTATTTTTTATTTTGAGACGAGTCTTGCTAAATTTCTGAGGCCGGCATGATTTTTGTGATCCCCATGCCTCAGCCTCTGAATAGCTGAGATTACAAGAATGCACCACTACGCATCTAATTCAATTTTATGAATTTTTTTTTTCAGTGTTGGGAATCAAATCCCAAGATTTGTATATGCTAGGCAAGCACTCTACTACTGAGCCACATCCCCATCTCTGAAACTACAATTCTTTATTGCTGTCCAGTTTCTAAATTATCTCCTGTTTTCTGAGTCTTCACTTTAGGATAAGACCTATGGCTGGTCTAAGGGCTTGTTGGCAGTTCTCCTGGAAATATAGGAAACTGATTCTTGTTATATTTCCACCATAATGTGTTCTAATGTTCTCAAACCAAGTTCTACTATCCTGGAAATTCTTCAAGAGATGCTTTAGGGAAACAAGCTAATCTGCAGTAGTATTATACATTGCATAACTATTGGACTTATGAGGTACCTCTGCTCGTGGAAGGGGTCTGGGCAGATTTATACTTGCTTGTGAGTACAGCTAGGCTGGATCAAGACAGACTGTTACATTCCATAAACTTTCCTCACTTACTTAGGAGTTTTCAGTAATGATACATGCTTGTAGTGAAATCAATGTTTCTACTTCTGTTCAAATTGGAAAGTAAGTTCATTTCTCTGATTAAGCTGACTTATTCTGTGTGGTTTTTTTTTTTTTTTTTTTTTGTGTGTGTGTGTGTGTGAAATAACACTGTTTAATTTACTCAAAGGATGTTGCATCAGGTCTTATCATTAATCTGAATCTAGTAATGACATTTGTCAGCAGGAGAGAAGAGCACATGTAGAGGGTGTGTTTATTCATTTACTCAAACGGTCTAGGTGTTAGGGCATGGATAAGAATAAAACAATGTTCCTGCCATCAGAGTTCACACTAAATTAGGAGAGTCACACTAAAATAAATGCAAATATAAAAAAAAATCAAAAGTAATGATAAATGTCAAGGAAAAAAGAATCAATGCAAGGGAATAGAAAGTGATAGAAGGAAGCAAGTGTTGTGGCATTTGCCTATATTCCCAGTGACTTGGAGGCTGAGACAGGAGGATCTCAAACTCAAAGTCAGCATCAGCAACTTAACAAGACTTTCAGAAATTTAGCAAGACCCTGTCTCAAAATAAAAAATAAAAAGGGGGTTGGGGTTGTGGCTCAGTGGTAAAGCACTTGTCTAGCACGTGTGAGGCACTGGGTTCAATTCTCAGCACCACATATAAATAAACAAATGAAATAAAGGTCCACCAACATAAAAAAAATATATTGAAACAACCGCAACCAAAAAAAAAAAAAAAAAAAAAAAAGGACTGGGGATGTAGTTCAGTGGTAAAGCACCCCTGAGTTCAATTCCCAGTACAAGAAAATTTAAAAAAAAAGGAAGAAGAAGAAGAAGAAAGAAGGAGGAGGAGGAGGAGGAGGAGGAGGAGGAGGAGGAGGAGGAGGAGGAGGAGGAGGAAAAGCAAGTTAACTGCAATGAAACAGAACAGAACGCTTTGTCCCCTCCTCAGAGGAGCCTCTTTTATTTGCTCTGTGAATGTAGCTTTTCATTGCACAGCTGAACAATCAGGAGGTCCTATAAATGGTCCAAGATGTGGGCTGAAAGAAAATGGACTGGGGATGTAGCTAGTTGGCAGAGCCCTTACCTAGGGAGGCCCTGGGTTTGATCCCCAGTACAACAAAAAAGAAGAAAACAGGGGAGGGGAGCAACAGGAGGGAGAAAGAAAGAACACAGGAAGAAAATAGCCGAAACAAGGGGATGGGCCGCTATAGCTGCCAGGAAAAGCGCTCCCTTCTGTTTCCCGAGTGAAGAAACCTGTTGACTACGGGAATGAGGCGTTTGGAGAGATTTCGTCATTACCTGAAATCCATCCAGCATTAAGGGCTACCTTTGGAGAGACGGTGGAAGGAGATCGTGCAGGATTTCAAAACCGACTGGAGGCTTTAGAGCACCCCAGCGGGAGCTAGGGAAGCTACCTGGAGGTTTTGTGTGGCTGCTGTAGCAGGTTGGGTGCCATCCCCAGGGAGAGGATCACCATTGTGCTCAAGGACATCCAGCTGGCTTGCTCTGTGTGGGTATAGCGAATATAAGTGAAGGCTGTTTATAGTAATTTCTATGAAATACTTTGGCTTAATTTGTGACTTTTTTTTTTTTTTTTTTTTTTTTTTTGCAAAAGATTGTTTATACTATGTTGCATTTGTACTTTTCATTCCGTTTTTCCTTAGTCAATGTGAAAAGTGACTGTTCACACTGTTACTCCAGAGGGACAATTTGCAGAAAGGGCCGGTGACATTTATTCTCATGATCAAGTTCCTGTATGTTGCTGACTTGGGTGCTATAAAGGTACTAGAGTTGATAAATACATGTGTATGGGTCTTTTTGCAATGAAACTGGTTATGACTTGCTCCAAATGTTTAACAGTTGGGGCTATTAAGTCTGACCATGTATCATTGGGATAAAATGTTGACTTATTCATTTTGGTTTTGAGGTGGGGTCTTGCTATTTTGCCCATACTGGCCCCAAATTTCAAGGCTCAAGCACTGCTCCCATCTCAGCCTTCCAAGTAGATGTAACTAAGGAAGTCACCAGCATACCTGGCTTGACTGTCTTTCATCTCCTGAATATCTTTCATCTTCCTCCGACCACATCCTTTCTGCCCACAGTTACCACCCACTTAATCCATTTCAGTCCACTGATACAGATTAATCCACTGATAAAGGTTACACTTCAATCTACTCATTTCACCTCTGAAAATTCTTGTATTGTCTGATGAACTTTTGGAGGACGCCTCATCTAAATGTAACTTAGGGTTAACTGAAGAAGAGTAAACTGACAGCTATGAAGTAAACTTTATGTATTTATAGTAGCTATTTTATATATTGTAGTGTTGAAACTATTTATTTTCTTGCCCTACTGGGGATGAAATTCTGGGGTGTTTTACCCCTGAGCTATATCCCCAGCAGTTTAAATTCTTTATTCTGAAACAGTCTCACTAAGTTGTCCAGGCTGTCCTCAAACTTGCAATCCTCCTGCCTCAGTTTCTTGGGTAGCTGGAACTACAGGCACTGGGCCACTGCACCTGACTAGTATTGACATTATTTATTTATTTATTTACTTACTTACTTACTTTAGTTGTAGATGGACACAATACCTTTATTTTGTTTATTTATTTTTATGTGGTGCTGAGTCTCGAACCCAGTGCCTCGCATGTTTGAGGCAAGCACTCCACTGCTGAGCCACAACCCCAATCCCTGGTATTGACATTTTTAAGTGAAATGTTTTACAACATAAGTGGTGGGGACTCTTGACATTACTGTGTGTATAACTTATAGTCCTGTTGTTTTTCTCCTGTCTAGGCTGTTCTTGTTTTCATAGTAGCAGAATGCTAAGTACATTATACTTTGCATAAGTCATTCTATGTCATGTAAACTAATCCTCTAGCTGATAATACAAACATTAACCTGGGGATTTTATATGTAAGGGCTCTAGAATAAAATATGAGTCATTCACACTAGCTTAATTTGTTACAATATTCTGAACTCATACTGCAGTTTTCTTATAACTAGGCTGAGTTTTTCTCCTGTACTACTAAGAGAAAGCAATACCAAGGTTCTTTTCCTTGTAGAGTTTATATTTAACAACCCTTAGTGTAAACTTTCAGTGGGAAAGGAACATACTGTTCCAACTTATTGGAGCCCGTCCAATTATGGTGGTGTTGGGAAATATTACATTTGGTTACTGTCCTAGGAAAATTACTTTTAAGGAAATGACTTTCCAAAAGGTTTTAAAATTTATTGTTTTATTGAAATTTTAGGCCAGTTATGTATATTGACTTAAATTTAAAAGAAGCTTGTTTATATAATATACATTTTTTAAAAATTACAATGAAATATTACTTCCCACTCCTTAGAATAAATAAGATGAATATCAAAAAAATGGTGGTAAGGATGCAAAGAAGCAAAAAACACTTATTCATTGCTAGTTGGAATGTAAATGATGTAACCACTTTGGAAAATATTTTGGCAGGTTCACAAACATTAAGCACAAAACTATCATATGACCCAGCAATTTTACTTGTAAGTTTCTACCCCCAAAAACCGTTTAAATACACAAAAACATTCACAGCAACATTACTCATAAAAGATAAAACCTGCAATGTCCAATTGGCAACTGAATAGACAAAATATATTTTATATATATACACACACACACACACACACAATGGAATACTATTCATCAATAAAAGGAACACATTATTAACACATGCTATATCATAGATGAACCTTAAAACACACCATGAGTTTTATTCAGCTTTTTCCTTGTAGTGACCAAAAGACCTGACAAGAACAATGTAAAGAAAAAAAAGTTTATCTGGGGCTCATGGTTTCGGAAATCTCAGTCTACACATGGCTGACTCCATTGCTCTGGGCCAGAGGTGAAGTGGAACATCATGGTGGAAGGATGCCGTGGAGGAAAGCAGTTAAGGACATGGCAATAAGGAAGGAGGTTGGGGGACAAAATATAACTCCAAAGGTATGCCCCCACTGACCTATTTCCTCCGACCACATCCTATCTGCCCACGGGTACCACCCACTTAATCCACTTCAGTCCACTGATACAGATTAATCCACTGATAATGGTTACACTTCAGTCTACTCATTTTACCTCTGAAAATTCTTGTATTGTCTGATAAACTTTTGGAGGACACCTCATCTAAATCATAATACTATGTAAAAAATCCAGATATAAGGAACCATGTATTGTATGATTCTACTTATATAAAATGTTCAGAAAAGACATGTGGAGACAAAAAGTAGATTAGTGGGTTCCTGGGGCTAAGGGTGGAAATAGTAATTGATATAAATGGCATAGAGATCTTATTTCCAGGCATGAAAATATTTCAAAAGTGACTGATGGTGATAGTGGCAACAAATAAAATCGAATAAACTTACCAAAAATATTATTGAACCATATACTTGAAATGGGTGAATTTTATAGTATTCAATATGGCAGTTTAAAATAAAAGAAATGAAAAGAAGATAATAAAGGGACAAGTGATTTCAAATAGGTTGGTTCAGGGAAGTCCTCCCCAGAGAGGCCTGAATGAGTAGATAGTGAGCAATGCAATGATGAGGTAAGATTGTTCAGGAATTATAGCTAACATGAAAGTTCTGAGGGAACTTAGCAGTTTAGTAACAATAGGAAGGCCAATGTTATTAGAGCGGAAAGAATAGGGAAATGATAGACAAAGTTGGAAATGCAGGCTTGGAAACACAGGCAGGTATTATGGTAAGAAGTTTGGGTTCTATTTTGAGCATGAAAGAGAAACACTGAAGTTTTTTGTTCTTTTTCTCTCTTCTTCCTTCCTATCTCCTCAGTACTGGGGATTGAATCAAGGGTGCTCTATCACTGAGCTATATACCCCCAACCACCACCCCCTTTTTTTTTCTTTTGTGGTGCTGGGGATGGAACCCAGGACTTTTTGCATGCAAGGCAAGCGCTCTACCAATTGAGCTATAACTCCTGTTCCATCTGCAACCCTTTTTATATTTCACTTTGAAACATGGTTTCAATAAGTTTCTCAGGCTGGCCTCGAATTTGAGATCCTTCTGCCTCAACCTCCTAAATTGCTGGGATTACAGGTATGTGCCACTGCCCCTGGTGAATTTTTAAATTCTCAATGAAGTTATGAATGATAGTCTAGCTGGGCATGGTGGTGCATGCCTGTGCACCAAGGGTTCAGGAGACTGAGGCAAGAGGATTGCAAATTCAAAGCCAGCCTCAGCAACCTAGCAAGGCCCTAAGCAACTCAGTGACACCTTGTCTCCAAATAAAAATGTTTTAAAAAGGGCTGGGGATGTGGCTCAGTGGTTAAGAACCCCTGGGTTCAATTCCTGGTATGCTCCCAGCCCACCCCATCCTCCCCCTAAAAAGAAAAAAAGATAGTCTCAAAGGTGAGGACGAGTCATTTGTGGATCTCAAACAGTTTATTTCTCTCTTTTTCCAAATCAGGATGAGCACAGTACCAGAAGTTATAGTTGCATGGCACTGTGGGCTTCGAGTCTTTGGCTTCTCCCTTATCACTAACATGGTCATCATGGATTATGAAAGCCTGGAAAAGACGACTCATGAGGAAGTATTAGAGGCTGGAAAACAAGCTGCACAGAAATTGGAAAAGTTTGTCTCCATTCTTATGGCCATCATTCCCCCCCCCCCCCCCCCCCGCCCCGACAATACCATTTGACCAGCCCTGGAATGGTCCAACCGCTAATGGGATCCCAGTAACTGCTACCTTCTTTGGCCCTTTCCTGGGTCATGTGCCTCTACCCTTCAATAATAGCAGAAAGGAAAGGAGTGGAAGATCCCCGTCCTTCACCTTCCCCACTTTTCTACCAGATACTTCTGGTACTAGAACCTCTTGCTCAATTGTCTTCTCAGAGCAGTTTGTTTTCACCTCCATTCTTTGTAAGAGACAGAGCCCATGCTCTGTCACACCTGGGGATATACCCATGGTTTGATATAGGCCTTTGACTGTCACACAGTAGCTCCTACTACTGCCTCACCTAAAGCACTGGAGACCAAACAAGACCAGCCCAGAACCTCCTGGAATTTAATTAATATCATAATGTTTTTACAATAAAGAGAGATGAAATAATTTTTTCATTTTTTAGTGCAATTTGGGGTGAGGCTGGGTCACAGCCCAACACTGGCATGAAAAGGTGTGAGACCACATATCTTGCGTGACTGTCTGCTTCTCAGACAAGTAGCTGAGAATGGGGACAAGATGGTGTGTGAGCAGCAAAGGATGAAGAAAAAAGCAAAATGTTGAAAGATGTTATAAGCTGAGGGAGGGCTAACTTCTTTTTTTTTTTTTCTAATTTTTTTTTATTGGTTGTTCAAAACATTATAAAGCTCTTGACATATCATATTTCATACATTAGATTCAAGTTGGTTATGAACTCCCAATTTTACCCCAAATACAGATTGCAGAATCACATCGGTTACACATCCACATTTTTACATAATGCCCTATTAGTAACTGTTGTATTCTGCTACCTTTCCTATCCTCTACCATCCCCCCTCCCTCCCCTCCCATCTTCTCTCTCTACCCCATCCACTGTAATTCATATCTCTCCTTGTTTATTTTCCCATTCCCCTCACAACCTCTTATATGTAATTTTGTATAACAATGAGGGTCTCCCTCCATTACCATGCAATTTCCCTTTTCTCTCCCTTTCCATCCCACCTCATGTATCTGTTTAATGTTAATCTTTTCTTCCTGCTCTTCCTCCCTGCTCTGTTCTTAGTTGCTCTCATTATATCAAAGAAGACATTTGGTATTTGTTTTTTAGGGATTGGCTAGCTTCACTAAGCATAATCTGCTCTAGTGCCATCCATTTCCCTGCAAATTCTATGATTTTGTCATTTTTTAGTGCTGCGTAATACTCCATGGTGTATAAATGCCACATTTTTTTTTATCCATTCATCTATTGAAGGGCATCTGGGTTGGTTCCACAGTCTAGCTATTGTGAATTGTGCTGCTATGAACATCGATGTAGCAGTATCCCTGTAGTACGCTCTTTTAAGGTCTTCAGGGAAAAGTCCAAGAAGGGCAATAGCTCGGTCAAATGGTGGTTCCATTCCCAGCTTTCCCAGGAATCTCCATACTGCTTTCCAGATTGGCCGCACCAGTTTGCAGTCCCACCAGCAATGTACAAGAGTACCCTTTTCCCCACATCCTCTCCAGCACTTGTTGTTGTTTGACTTCATAATGGCTGCCAATCTTACTGGAGTGAGATGGTATCTTAGGGTGGTTTTGATTTGCATTTCTCTGACTGCTAGAGATGGTGAGCATTTTTTCATGTACTTGTTGATTGATTGTATGTCCTCCTCTGTGAAGTGTCTGTTCAGGTCTTTGGCCCATTTGTTGATTGGGTTATTTGTTTTCTTATTGTTTAATTTTTTGAGTTCTTTGTATACTCTGGATATTAGGGCTCTATCTGAAGTGTGAGGGGTAAAAATTTGTTCCCATGATGTAGGCTCCCTATTTACCTCTTTTATTGTTTCTCTTGCTGAGAGAAAACTTTTCAGTTTAAGTAAGTCCCATTTGTTGATTTTTGTTATCAACTTTTGTGCTATGGGTGTCCTATTAAGGAATTTGGAGCCTGACCCTACAATATGTAGATCGGAGCCAACTTTTTCTTCTATCAGACGCAGTGTCTCTGATTTGATATCTAGCTCCTTGATCCACTTTGAGTTAACTTTTGTGCATGGCGAGAGGAGGGGATTCAGTTTCATTTTGTTGTATATGGATTTCCAGTTTTCCCAGCACCATTTGTTGAAGATGCTATCCTCCCTCCATTGCATGCTTTTAGCTCCTTTATCAAATATAAGATAGTTGTAGCTTTGTGGATTAGTCTCTGTGTCCTCTATTCTGTACCATTGGTCCACCCGCCTGTTTTGGTACCAGTACCATGCTGTTTTTGTTACTATTGCTCTGTAATATAGTTTTAAGTCTGGTATCGCTATACCGCCTGATTCGCACTTCCTGCTTAGAATTGCTTTTGCTATTCTGGGTCTTTTATTTTTCCATATGAATTTCATGATTGCTTTATCCATTTCTACAAGAAATGCCGTTGGGATTTTGATTGGCATTGCATTAAACCTATAGAGAACTTTTGGTAATATCGGGGAGGGCTAACTTCTGACACTCAATGACCACTTCTTCAGACCAGTCTTTGCCTCTGTCCTTTCTTCTGATTGTTTCATTCCCTGTCTACCCTCATGAATATCTGAATTTATTAAGCCCCTTACATATCTCTTCTTGCATTACTTCCCCTCTACTCTCGCATTCTGTAGCCATACTCTCCATCACTACATTCTGACAATGTAGTGGCAAGCATCCTTTTGTCTGCTGCCAGTGGCCCCCCTGCTGACTAGATTCCTGCCAGTCCAGGCCAACCTCTGAAGTTAGTTCATACCCAGCTTCTTTGAGGCCCTTCTTTCTTCCTACTCTTTGCTTTCTGGGCTGTAGTCCTTTCACTTTTGCTTGATCAGAACGTTCCTATCATGCTGCATGTAGGCATTGTTATGCAGTTAGCTGGCATTCAGCTGGCTGGCATGATTGAAACCACACTGCCCTCCCAGGTTTATGTGCCTTTTAGGAAAGGACAGTACTTGCTTGGCATGGTGGTACGTGTCTGTAATCCCAGTAACTCAGAAGTTTGGGGCAGGAGGATGGCAAGTTTGAGATCACCATCAACAATTTTGTGTCTCAATTAAAAAAAGGATCAGATCATGTGGTTTAGTGGTAAAGTGCCCCTGAGTTCAATCCCCAGTACTTGGAAGAAAAAGACTGATGATTGTTAGTGGTATAATATGGAAGAGGTATTTGGAACAGGAAGCTTTTGAAGAACTCTTTCAAGTAATCCTTTGTTAGTCACTGACCAATTTAGCTGAGCCTTGCTTAAAGAAAAAGCATTCTGGAGTGGTCTGTCGCCTCTTTTCCTCTCATCTTCTTCTCCACTCCTCACTAAAGTCTTCCCCAGGCCTTTAAGGGAACTGCTACTATCTATTATTTCTTTCTGAGAACTGGTTTAGAGAGAAGTATTGTGCATCCTTTAGAGATGTACATAACTCTAGCATTCATTTTATGAGATGGTTTAGATATTTTTCTTTATTTTTGAATATTTCTTTATATAGCATTAAATAACAATATTAAGTTGAGAATATAAAAATGGTACTTCTCTCAAGTGCCCTACACATTTATTTATTTATTTATTTTTGAGGGAGTCCTGGGAATTGAACCCAGGGGCACTTTACCACTAAGCTACATTCCCAGCCCTATTTATTTATTTATTGTTTTGAAACAGGGTCTTGTTAGGTTTTTGAGAGTTTCACTAAATTGCTGAGGCTGGCCTCAAAATTGCAATCCTGCCTCAGCCTCTCAAGTCTCTGGGAGTACAAGTGTATACCTCTGCACCTGGCTGCCCTACAATTTAAAAGATATAAAGTACCTGTTGTACAAGGCTTGTATGAAGTAGGTATAAGTCATGTTGTGGGACCCAAAGTAAGGAGTGATTGTGTACACTAGACAATGGAGATTGGGTAGGGTAGGGAAAGTTTCATAAAAATTTTTGAACTTAGTTCTGTATGTATGGGAGGTGCTGGGGATTGAACTCATGAATAATACCTCAGCCCCTGAGCTTAGTTTTAAAGGATGGAAGGTAGGAAGGATTTCACATCAGTGTAAGCCAAAGCACAGACCTGCAAAAAAGTACTATGCACATTCATTGGTCATTGTCACAATCACTGTGGCTAGACAAGGGCATGAAGTGTTCTTGTGGGACATTGGCAGAAAGATAACTGGAGGCCAGAGGAAGGCTGCATTTGGTGCTTGACTTTCCTATTGCTGATCTCTACTTAGATTAAAAAATATGTCCTGGAGATACTTGAGTGGAATATTTTGGGCATTTTTAGTATTTTAGATTCATTAAGTGAGTTTATTAAATTCATATGTACTCATATGCATACATAAATTTTCTTCTGTTTATGTTGGTTTGTTTGTGTTGGTACTGGGGATTAAACTCAGGGGCACTTTACCACTGAGCTATATCCCCAGCCCTTTTTATTTTTTTGAGTCAAAGTCTTGCAAAGTTTAGGAGGATTAAAAGTCTTGCCAAAGCAGGTCTAGGACTTTTAATCCTCCTGCCTCAGCCTCCCGAGTCACTAGAATTGTAAACATGTATCAGCATGCCTGGCAATAAATAAAATAAAATGAAAAAGAAAAAAAAGAGCCATATTGAAATATTCACATAATATATACATTCACATATAAAATATTTTATATTCACACATAAAATTCATTTATTTAAAGTTTATAGTATTTAGTATATTCACAGACAAATGTGGTCATTGTCAGTCAATTAGAGCATTTCCAAAGGAAACCTTCTCCATAACCCTAGTGTCCCCTATGCTCAACAGACCCAAACAACCACTCATCTACTTTCTATCTTTATAGATTTAACTATTTTGTACTTTCATATGAAAAGAATTATGTAAAGAATTGTGTAGATTTTTTGTGACTGGCTTCTTTCACTTAACATAGTATTTTCAGTGTTCATCCAAGTTGTAGTACACATTGGTACTCAACATTTTTAATGGCCCAATGTTTTATTTTATTTATAAATTTTTTAAAATATTTATTTTTTAGTTGTGGTTTGACACAATACCTTTATTTGCTGAGGCTAGCCTCAAACTTTTGATCTTCCTAACTCAGTTTTCAGAGTCACTAAGATTACAGGCATGTACCACCACATCCAGCTAAAGAGGTTTGTTTTCATGGTAAAATAACTTTCACTGAAAATTAACCAAATATAATAGTGTAGTTGTTAGTATGGTATTTGATTTTCTTAGTCAAGTTGAGATCTTTTTAGTGTCTTAAAGAATAAGCTGTTCCTACCTGGGGATTTAGCTCAGTGGCAGAGCACTTGCCTAGTGTGGTGGTTTGGATGTGAGGTGTCCCCCAAAGGCTCATGTGTGAGGCAATGCAAGAAGAGGTTTAGAGGAGAAATGATTGGGTTATGAGAGCCTTAACCCAATCAGTGAATTAATCACCTGAGTATTAATTGAAGGCAGGTGGGATATGGCTGGAGG